CAGTAGGTCTGGCAGCATCTGTGGAGGAGAAAACAGAGTTAACGTTTTGGATCCGGTGACCCTTCAGAACTCTGAGGAAGGGTCACCGGACCCGAAACGTTAACTCTGTTTTCTCCTCCACAGATGCTGCCAGACCTACTGAGCTTTTCCAGCAACTTTGTTTTTGTTCCCGAGAACTACTTCAAACTCCTCTTGTACTGAAACAGGGTCAACATCTTCCATAGCAGTCAGTAACACGGTCCAGAGCCTCACTGATCTGTAAGACAGGAACAACAGCCAATATCTAGTTTATTTCTATTTTGTCTCTTCGATCTGGAATAAGCAATTGCTAAAAACAACGAACAGTATAATGATAGTAAAAGGAAGAGAATTCTTAAAGGTAGGAATCGAGTGCTGATTAATACCAAACACTACTCACACTGGCAGCACTTAAGCTGTACCAACAAGACATTTTTCTGGGGAGGGCTCTACTCATTGTAAGAAGACAGAATGTAACAGAATATTGCATGCAATAGGAACTGAGATGCAGCATAGTGTCAGTCAGTCATTTTATACATTGCTTTCCATTCTCAACAGTGGTGCTCCAAGAACAGATAGGTTTCTTTAATTTTATAAGAGTAACTTTTTCATTCTGCTAAAGATTGCTTACGGTGAAGCACAGTATGCTTTTTCCATGGTACAAACTCTGTCAACATCAAGTGCTCTCAGCTCAAAAATAGCAGAGATTGTGTGCACTGCAAAGCTCTTCGTTTCAACAGTGTATTTTGACCACATTAGTTCTCTATTCCACCACTGTGACATTAAATAACAATGTAAGCAAGTTTGTTGAGGACAAAGCCATGGGGAGTTTAAATGATCCATTCTGTCTGCTGACAACGTACCAAATAGTGACTCGATTTACTTTCAGACCAGGTGAATAGCACCAAGGTAAAATAAATGCCAAGACAGATTACAATACAATATTCCATTAAAAATCAGCAATTTATTGAATACACACACCATCCTGTAACAATAGCTTCACAATATTAATTAGAATTAAGTTGGAGACACCAACGTTAATTCTCCTTTGGTCCAGATTGGTTTGTTCCAGTTCACTAATTAAGTAGACACTAACTACACAAATTAAAATCTACATTTCCCACACAGTTCTGTTGAAGTAACATTAATCTCAATGGATTTTTGCCAAGCTAAGCAACTCCAAATTAGGAAAGCATAGTGAGATGAATATGCATTACATAAAGTCCAAAAATGATCAGTGCTGTATGATCAAACTGGGATCCAATTATTTGTCGTACTAATGAAGATTTTTCAAGGAAAGTGATAAACTTATTGCTGCTAACTTGCAGCACACAGTACAAAAACAAATAGCTAAAACTTGAATCAATTGTAGTTTGGTCCCATTTTCACAAGGAGTCCGAATAAGACAACATTTCAAAAAGAGTATTTGTAGATTACAAAATCAATGCTACAACTCTCAGGTGTGGAAGACCATAGTTTGATTGTGAACATGTAAACTTTATGCAATTACACAATACAATATGTCTCACTTGATATAAATGCAAAAGACTCAACAATATCACAGAGACACAGGGTAGTGGTAAGTTTTTGGCAAATTTTATACCAAATCCAGACATGAGTCTCCAAACCTTCCAGTTTGGATGAAACACCTGAGCTCATTAAATGATACTTAAAACAAAATTGAAAACCTGGATCAATTCTATTCACAAGTATGTACATTAATAAATTAAACAAATCATTAAATCTTCATCTAGATAAAAATGTCATAAAACATAAAAGTGAGATGGAGAAGTTTAGGGAGCAAATTCCAGAGCTTAATATCCAAAAGATATGGCCTCCACAAACAGAACTGGTTTAAACTCCACTATCATAAGACCCCAAAATTGGAGGAGTGAGGAGTTCATACAGTTATGGGACTGGGGAGGTGAAAGGTATCCACTGTATTTTGTTTTTACACTTTCTTATATGATATTTTGTAACACGCTGTTTTCTAATACAATGTTTCATAGCCCACAATCTTACCAACATCCCACAGCAACTAGATTTGGCTCACACATTGGGACCCTGCACAGACCTGTAAAACCTACAGAAACAAAGTAGCCTCACCTATAACTTCACAAAAGTTCTAACATGGCTAATCAGTTAAATTATACAAGTAAAATATTTTCCAAATTCATCCACAGCCTCAACTACCATACCCCTCCCCCAGTCCCATAACCCTATGAACTCCTCACTCTTCCAAATTTGGGGTCTTGTAATACCTGGTTTTAAAACAGCTATGATTTTAAGAGGCTGTACCTTCCAGACTTTGGACTGAATTTGCTCCCTAAACTTCTCCTCACTGTTAGGGCATATATTAAAAACTATTCCTGCAATCAAAGTCTGATCATTTGTTACAATCTTACATTATGCAGCTTGATGTCAGAATTAGAATAGAATATCCTTTACTGTCACATGTACTCAAGTACAGGAGCACAGTGAAATGCTTTACAATGTCACCGCTTATGGTACCATCTTAGGTACAAATACCTAGGTACAAAGCTTAGATACAAAAAGGGAAATAAATAAAGTAGTTGCATTATTTTACAGTGATTCATAGTGTAAGTTAGAAATATGACAATTAAAAGGATAGACATTACAGTCAGATAAACACATTACAAATAAACATTACATTGCAGTAGCTCAGTACAGGGGCTCCTGTGGTCTGATCACCCGCACCAGACCCCAGCCCAACAACCATCTCTGCTCCACTCCGCTCTGCACTGGCTCTCAGCTGCTCCAAGGTAAGTTTTCTCTGGGACTCGCTCCCCGCACTGGCCTCCCCACTCCAGTACTCGCCAGCTCCTCCATTCCCTTCCAGATAAGTCCAAGTCATTAGTAGAAAAAAAGAACACAGAAAGGAGGACAGAAAAAAAAAGAGAATGAAAAAGAATGGCAGAGCAGAGAAGCTCTGATGGAGCATCTTACTCTGCCACCATCTTGCTGGGAAGTTTGATGAGGTTCTTGTTTATCATCACAGTACCATAAAAATGGAACTTGTACATTAATTTTATATCCTACAGTCATGCTACTAGTGTTGAGCAACATTGAGGTCTATCAATTGCATCTGCTGTCCAAGACAGTACAAATTGACACTTCATTGTTGCAAAGCGTTGCTAGATTATTTCCATTGAAGGTAGCTGCCTGGTCAGATTTGTCAGTTGGAAAACCATTCTTTGATATCTAGGAAGCCATTTCAATTCAACATAGGCTGACTGAATTAATATATTTTCTCAGACATGGTTTAAAAAAATTTAGGTGAACTAAGAATAATACGACTAAAGAATGCAAGCACAATGAAGAACAGGTTTGTAGTGATGTTTTGGAGATTATGGTCACTCACCTAAACATCATGGCTAGTTGCTGTTGTTTAGTGTGGGTTGTAAACACTGAGCTAGAGGGGTCTGAAGAAAAATTCCACTTAGGATTGTTTTCCCAGAAATCTTCCCCTGGTTGTGGCCAACAGTCGAGTTGAATCCATAATAGGAAAAATAGTGAACCAGCATCTTTCCTCACTCCAATCAAAGGTCATGGATCTGAAACATTGGCCATTTCTGAGAGCATTTGCTGACTGATCTGAACATTTCCAGCATTTTTGGCTTAAATTTTAATGCTCCAGTATTCACTGTATTTTGTTTTTAACATTTCTTATTCCATACTTTGTTCGCTGGTTAACCAGTCAGGGTGGGTGTTTCTATCATGGAGTGGGACAGGTCTACAACAGGCAAACTGAACGGGGTGGCATGGTGGCTCAGTGGTCAGCACTGCCTCACCCGGGTTCGATTCCAGCCTTGGGTGACTATGTGTGGAATTTGCACATTCTCCCAGTGTCTGTTCCGGTTTCCTCTCACAGTCCAAAGATGTGCAGGTTTGGTGAATTGGCTATGCTAAATAGCCCGTGTTGTGCAGGGATGTGTAGGCCAGGTGGATTAGCCATGGAAAATGGTTCTGGATGGGATGCTGTTCAGAGGGTCAGTGCGGACTCAATAAGCCAAATGGCCTGCTTCCATGCTGTGGTGATTCTATGACAATTTGACATTATAGCTAAGACACGCCCAGGAGAATGGTGTAAGAACTCAAAAATCACACCGAAAGTTAGGTAAGGTGATACAGAACATGGAATCACACAGAGGGATTTTACCTGGTTCCCAAAATCTTGCATAAACATTCCATGGAATGTTTAATACTGATTAAATGTAATGACTAGACTGGGAGAAGCCCACATCAAAATGCTAATGCCCCAGGTTAAAAGATACAAAAAGGAGCAGTGTACAGATTTCCTATGGTTGATTCAGTTACAGCTTTAAAACAATAGATAAACCAACAATACTTTGAAAGAATGTTTTGACTTTATTGTACATTACAACCATTCTAATATCAACATTAAATGTAATGTATATTGTTCAAATGATACTGCAGCATCTGAATTAAAACAATTGCCCCTGATAAATTCAGTGAAACCAAATTTGTGTGTTATATTAAAAAAACTCATTTGACAACAGTTACAAAGTAGTTATAAAGCAAATGATAGCAAAGTGCTCATTCCCAGTCTCAGAATGTTGGGTGGGAAGTGCAGGAGGATGGAGAAAGGTAATTTAAAGTGGTTGAGCAAATAGGAACCGAGCATGGTTTTTGGCAGCAAACGTGCTGCGCTCAGCAGATTCAAGCTTTGATTTAGAAAATTCCACAACCTAACTACATTTGCTTGCATCTTGGTTGGGGCAGGGTGGGGAGTAGAAGCAGTTACCTTGACATTTATGTAGCTGCGTATTAACACTTCTCTTCAGTAAAAACTTCAAACATTCCTGTTTATAAGTAGAATAAAAAAAAAGTGAAAACCATTCGTGAGGCTTTGTTTTTATTTACTTAGAATGATTTTATTTACTTCTTTCCTCTTAGTCTGTGCAGTTTATCATGCTCTCTTGGGTGAAAGACTTTTCCGATGCTCCAATGCAGCTCGCTGCTGGCAGTCATGCTGATCTTTATGTCATTGAGATAGTTTCTTTTATTTCCCTTCAATCTTTTCATGGAAATGACTAAGTCGTGGCAAATGGTACATCTGAGGTTCAGGAACTACATGGCAGTGCGTTAGGTAATGCAACAGATCCGATCCTGGGTCAATTTTACCTTGACAATGTACTGCATATGCCCACTTGTCTTCACTTTCAGAAACTGCACAAGCAACTGTTTGGATCCTTTTTGCCTGGGAGGGGGCACAAAAGTAACCCCAGAGCCCGAGATGTGAAAAAGCAGAGAATTCTTACAAAAGATAACTGCTCTTCAGTTCAGTCACTGACCAAAGTTGTGCCAGATAATTGAAGGCAAAATCAAAGTAGGTCATGAAAGGGGTGGTAGAGATAAAAGTAACAAAAGGATGAAAGAAATCTATAAATACTTTGCTGGCCATTTGTCAAGCTTTTTTTTTAAAAAGAAAAAGTCAGCAGATTCATTATGTGCTAACTGACATTTCAGGAGTAAAAGATTCATGACAATCGCTGGCATAATCAATGATACACTTGGGAATTATATCTGCATTTGGTTTTTGGCCAATAACCCTTGAAGGAAGAGCAGCTAACAAAATACAGCATATTTTTGTTTCCTTTTAGAAAAAGGATCCAGGAACAGCCACTCATGTAAAACACTTCTTTAATGGCAAGCAAGAAAGTAGTAGCCTTCATAGAAGGGGAAAATAGGCAGATATCAAAACACCTGTTTGCATTGAAAGATAGCTTAAAGCAACTATTTTTCTTTTTTTTTGAATATACAAAACAAAGTTGTGCTCCTTCTGTCGAAAAGAGTTGGAAAAAAATCAAGACATCCAAGGCAAAATAGATTTCACATCTGCTCAAAGAACTGAAGTGGGGGGAACAAAAAAAAACTCCATTAAAGACAAGTAATTTACAGTTAACTGCTGAACGTATCTGAAATTCTTACGAGATAATTCCTTTCCAGCATTCATCTTGTACAAAATAGTAACAGGCTAAGATAGATCAGTTTTAACGTACTTAACAACAGAAGTGGCCACATGTTTATTAATGTAACTTCTCTGCAGTTCCGTAGGCAGGATTGTACGGCGGCTGCGCGGCAGGATTGTACGGCGGCTGCACGGCAGGATTGTACAGCGGCTGCACGGCAGGATTGTACGGTGGCTGCGCGGCAGGATTGTACGGCGGCTGCACGGCAGGATTGTATGGCGGCTGTCCTGGATAAGGTACATTTGCACTAGCTGAAATGAAGATGGAAGAGAGCATTGATGCTGAATGCAATGATGTTTACGCATTACTCTGTTAAAATTACAACACAGGGACCCTAAACAAAAAACATTATGAGATGTCGTTTGTCCTCCTCCCAACCCCATGTGTTCCCACAACCCTTTATTCCTTTTCCTTGCTTCTAACCTCTTAAAACGCAACAACAGCTTGTACTTTAAGCACCAATTCCAACAGACACACTATCCTCTGTTGTTGTTCCATCTGCTCTCAGTCTTATTGTCCTCAACACACTGCTATACTTTTGAAGGTGGCATCATTGTCACAGTTGACTGGCATTTACTCATTTCCATTTCCAGTAATTTAAAAACCCATCGTACTCCCCACTTTTATCAAATGCAGGAGGGACGAAGATCACTGGTTTTGAAACTGTAAACCTGTCGACTCCTTCCACAACCTCTGATTTTCATTAGTAGTCACATATCATCATCCTGTGGGCTTTTTTTTAAAAATTGAAGAAAAAGGCCTATAGATTCACCTGCCTCGAAAGATCTCTCTCCAAGAGCAGGCAGTGGGAGAGCAGGCAGTATGAATTCGAAAGGGGGAATAAGACCATAAGGCATTGGAGCACGAGTAGCAAATTCCCAAAAATATTAAAACCTGTAATACTTTAAACTTTATTGGAATTTACAGCAGTGAAGGTGAAACACACCAGAGACATTATGGTGTAAGAAACGCAATCAAGCATTTGTTCCAAAACCAATTGGTGATTATGTGATTTGGGCAGTAATCCAAATTTCCTGACTACTTATCCAGTGAACGTGAATTTAAATTTTACCACAGCAGTTTGGAATTTTAATTCATTTTAGATCCAAATCTGCAACAGGTAATGTAAAAATGACAACACAAATCAGATTGTCCAGAAAACTGGTTCACTAATGCTTTCTATAGAAGGAAGTGAACTCTCTATACCCAGAATAGTCTATCAGAGGTTCGTCTCCTACACCAAATGTGGCTGATTTTCAACTGCCCCCTGAAGTGCAAAGCAAGTCACTAATTATTATTTCTAGCAATTAAAACAACAGAATGCAGATTTTTCAAGAAGGCAGCCCACTACCATCTTCTTAAAGTGGCTTATTGATGGTCAATACATCCTGAAACTAAATAAAAACCAAAAGAACTGCAGATGCTGTAAATCAGAGACAAAAACAGAAATGGCTGAAAAAGCTCAGCATCTGTGTAAAGAAATCAGAGTTAATGTTTTGGGTTGAATGACCTTTCTCAGAACTGAGGAAGAGTCACTTGACCCAAAATATTAACTCTGATTTCTCTCCAAAGATGCTGCCACATCCTGAAACTACCAAGAATGAGAGCTCACAATACGCAAGCACCTCAATGTCCTGGGATCAACACACAATGAGTTGAAGCAGCTTTCTCCTGAGTATGGAATACATCGTGTAAATGGGTGTAAGGTAAGAATATTTCCAAATTAAAAGGAGGGGAATGGAATGTGTAGAAGTGACTCAGTCTCGGTCTATGATAGTCTGGAATATGTTAGCTTGGTCACTTGCTTTTATTGAAATGGGAACTGTTTGAGAGGATAATAACAGCATAGTAATTCAAAAAGGCAGGAAGTACTAGATACCAAAGGTTAACTATTAGTTGGACTGGAGTTCAAGCACATGCTTTTCTGGTCAGAGTTTTATTCCAACACACATCCAGCCAAGTTCGCACTCAAATGACTCTCAATTAACGTATCACCATCACCTGTCCCTTAGTCCAATGCGGCCTCAGGATACCCTGCCAGGTGTGACTAGAAAATAATTGATTCCCCTTTCTTACATTTTAAAATAAATTGATATACTCAAGTATAATCATGAAAAAAAAACCCCAGAAACAATAAAGACAACATGGTGCAGAATGAAAATATATTATATTCCTTTTTGCTGTATATTAGAACTCCAAATGCCCTTTTTCCAGTATTTCTAATAGTTTCTCAAAATTTGCTCCTTCCTTTGTAAAGCAGTCAGGTAGCTGACTGCTGCTATTCACCCCCATTGCAAATTAGAGATTTCTCTGTTTACGAGTGTTTGTTTAAAACTATAATATCAAACACATTCTTCTTTCATTCATGCATTTTGTTGATTGTACATTATCCCATAGGTGCTTATGATCAATGTTGCAGACAATGGTTATTGCTGCTGAATCCTTTTACAATTACTTCCAATACACCAAAAAAAAAACCATCACTGCCACTTTACCAAGAGCTTCTGCTATTGAAAAAGACTTTTTTTTAATAAAAACACCATTCTTCAAATCTTTTCAGCTTCTCAAGCTAAAAAGGACAACACTTACCCGTGTCTCCAAAAAGAAAAGTTATAAACTCATCTACACTCGAGAATTCATCACAGATTTGCATAAGAAGCATTGCTAAAAACCACATAGGTTTCACATTCCTGGCACCTCTCGATGAAAAAGTTTCAGAACAAAATGCTCCATTTTATGTTTTTTAATGTTTTCTTTACCCAAATAATATATTTCACTTTGGGACTTTTCATAATCGTACTCAACTCTAAAAGAACTTAAAACTGGCATTGTGGCCTTGTTTGGGGTGACTAGTCAATTCTGCAGTTTAATTCAATTTCACAATTCTTCCATTTCAATTTTGGAAGCCACAGCACACGGTCATGAGACCTTACTAGCTGTAATGGGGCTAATATTTTCTAAATATTTTCTCAAAGTCATGTTTCGTTTCTTTGATCTTTCCTTTAAGTTTACATGTTTGCAGCAATCCATTGGCAATCTTGCTTACTGAGAGCACTGGACTACTGCCTACAAAACATAATGACATTCCACTCCCAAGCTACAAACCAGATTCGGCATCACATTACTAGTATTTAAGAAGTTTATTCCTGAATAGAGCTACAATAATCTACTTACTTGCCACAGTATCTTGATATGAAGGTGGTTGTCCAGAATATGGAGTTGGATATGGTGGTGGATTGGCGCTACTTGGAGGATAGGGAGCCATCGCTGGTGCTGGCTGCACTGGCATAGGAGTATATCCTTGGTAAGGAACAAAACCTTGTGCCGGTACGTGTGGTTGCTGTGGGTATGTAGACTGTACCACTGTAGTTGTAGTTGAACTTGTAACAACAGCTAAAGAGAATGACAGACAAATATCAATTCATTCATTAAAACTAACTCAGCTTTTTATCATTAAATGTGTCAAAAAGGAAAGGATCTTTGGAGAACAATGACAATGACAAACAGTACTTTGATTGTAAAATTCTCCTCTAACCAAAAACAGGGTGGGGTATAAGTTATAAAGTCAAAGCAAAATCACCTTTTAAATCTCCTGCATGAAAGAAAATATTGCAGCTAAGGTAAATTTAAGAACAGCTTATATTCTCTGCTTTGTGCAGTGGCAAGGGGTTGTTCATTTATCTTTCTCTCAGCTTTTATGGGTCTACGTGAGGATTGGCATCTTTGATTCTGGATATCAACCCTCACCACAATTCAATGTTTGGTAATAGGTTACATTCAACTGATGGCTGCCCTTCAAGTGCTGAATTTTTTTTCTATTCATTTGTGGGATGCTGGCGTCGCTGGCTGGCCAGCATTTATTGCCCAACCGTAGTCGCCCTTGAGAAGCTGGTGGTGAGCTGCCTTTTTGAACTGCTGCAGTCTTCCTGCTGTGGGTTGACCCATAATGCTATTAGAGAGGAAATTCCAGGATTTGACCCAGTGACAGTGAAGGAACGGCAATATATTTCCACGTCAGGATGGTGAGTGGCTTGGAGGGGAACTTGCAGGGGGTGATCTTCCCATATAGCTGCTGCCCTTGTCCTTCTAGGTGAAGGTGGTCGTGGGTTTGGAAGATGCTGTCTGAGGATCTTTGGTGAATTTCTGCAGTGCATATTGTAGATAGTACACACTGCTGCTACTGAGGGTCGGTGGTGGAGGGAGTGAATGCTTGTGGATGTGGTGTCAATCAAGCGGCTGTTTTGTCCTGGATGGTGTCAGGCTTCTTGTGTGTTGTTGGGGCTGCACTCATCCAGGCAAGTGGGGAGTATTTCATCACACACCTGACTTGTACCTTGTAGATGGCGGACAGGCTTTGAGGAGTCAGGTGGTGAATTACTCGCCGCAGTATTCCTAGCTTCTGACCCGCTCTTGGAGCCACTGTGTTAATAGGGTGTGTCCAGTTGAGTTTTTGGTCAATGATAACCCCCAGGATGTTGATAGTGGGAGATTCAGCGATGGTAAAACCATTGAATGTCAAGGACGGTGGTTAGATTGTCTCCTATTGGTGATGGTTATAGCCTGGCATTTGTGTGGTGTGAACGTCACTCGCCACTTGTCAGCCTAAGCCATATTGTCCAGATCTTGTTGCATGTGAATATGGATCCAGAGACAAGAATGGGAGGTTCTCACCTCAAGAGCAACCAGAAGTGCCATGCAAGGTGGACTCTTAGAAACCTGAACTAACCAAAGGATCATTAAGATCAGCAGGATACCGTAGCAATTTCAGAGAAAATAATATCCTCTAGATGAGGATAGCAGGTTCTCTTCACTGATCAGGTCATGGTTCTTAGGCATGGACGTAGATGTAATGGGAACAGATTGGACAGCTTTAAGCATGAAGATGTATGCGTACAAAATAGCACCAAAGTCTTTCACATTCAAATAAAGGGCATAGATGAAAGTGATAATCAAATGGTTAATTTGAATCAAAAAGTAGCAGTTGGTGCTGTGGACCAAACTGAATTCAAACTGCCAAACCATCCATTTCAAATCAGGATTAGATGTACATGAGATGTGATATTTTCTAATCAACCTGTTTAAAGATATTAGTACACACCTCTGGAGAAACAGGACATGAACCATGGCCTCCTGGTTCAGAGATCGGGGCACTACTACTACACCACCAGAACCCCTTAAATTCCACTCACTCCCACTGAGTCTACGGTTAAACTCAGACCTGTTGTTGTCCATTATGCTATTCTAGTCTCTGGATTTAATGTCTGGAGGGCAAGACAGATTAATCAGATTATTGCTGTTCTTTTTAATGCTGGTGACTAACTGGGCTATCATCTTCATATATTTTGAGGCAGTTTGGTCTGGTCCATAAACTTTCATTCTGAGGGTTCTTTGATAGCACAGAACTGTCAGCAAAAGGTAAACCATTCCCTCTTTCACAGCAGACAGATGCCATATTTTGAGGTCAAGTTTTGCAAGGTAAGTGTGATGTTAGGGTGCTGGGAAGACTGGGTGCCAGATGGATAGGGGGCCAGGTGGGTGACAGTGCCAGAGTGTAAGGTGGCAGATAAGTGTTGAGGGGCAGTGATGGTGGTCAGGTCTAGTCCAGTCCAGCCCAATCCAATCCCAGAACAACAGGTCCGTTGGGTTTCAGGGTGAGGATGTCAGGTCAGACCCTGGGCCTTGGTGGGATTGGAGTGTCAGTGGTATAGATGTAGTGTAATTAGGAGAACAAGAGGTAAGTTTAGGGTCAGTTGAATATAGGAAGGTGCCATTGTCCTGCTGGACCTTTAGAGAGAAACACAACTGGTGGTGGTTTAACCTTCGGATCACCTTGCCTCAGGCGAGGGAAGAGCTTGAGAGGGAGGGTCCTTCACAGTAACCTCAGCTGGTCTGGAAATGAAACCCATGCTATTGGCAGCACTCTGCATTCTAAACCAGTTATCCAACCAACTGAACTAACCAATTCAATTACTGAATAATTACTCAGGATTTAGGCTATGTATTTAATAATTTAACATTTCCTGAGTAGCTATTTTAGTTAATATCATTGGAACCAAAGCAAATTCTCTGATTTTTAATAAGATTTTGAATGTTGCAGGTGTAAAGGATTTGCCCAGCGGGAAATTCAGTTTCCCACACAATTCCTTCAGAGTGTGCTTTGATGGAGTTTCCACAAAATTCCCCATACACAACTCTGGTCTACAATGGAAAAATTACTTACAGTGAGTTCAAAGTGCACTTTGAAAATTGAAAGTGATCAAGGGTATCCATTTTGAGCGCAAGAGATCACACTATCATCCATACCAGAGAAAATTAATAAAAACCACCTAAAAACATATCTAATACAGAAAGAGACAGTAGGAACTGCCGATGCTGGAGTCTGAGATAACAAGGTGTAGAGCTGGATGAACACAG